TCCATATTCTATTGGGTCAGCTGTTTTTAAATTGGACACAAATATGGGTCTCTTCCAGTTGATTAGCCAAATAGCTACGTTCCACATTTCTTAGCATAGATGCATGAGTGCTTCATCAGATTGTTAAAACTTTTCAATTAGTATTTGGTTAATTCCTGGAGCCTTGTATCTTGTGAATCCATTCAGGGTAGCTTGGGCTTCTTCTTTCAGTATCTTGGTTCTTGATCCTAATCTACCCATTGCAATGGTTGAATGTCGACCAGTTCTTTGAAGGCAATTACTCTGTGTATTTCTCCCACCTTCTTTTGATACTTCCTTCATGGTTCAATACTTTCCTCATGGAATCCTTCTATGTATTGTAACTGTAGGCTTGAATTTTTGCTTCAGTTCTTTCAACTTTAGTTATGTTGAGTGTATTCTTCAGTTTTAGCTTTCTAACTCCAGGTCTTCGCACATTTTATTATAATTCTATACTTTGCCTTTTTGAGCTTCTTTTTGAAAAGTTCTGTCTAGATCTTTTACTTCATCATCTCTGCCATTTGCCTTAGCCACTCTACATTCAAGAAGAGGTTTCAGAGTCTTCTCTTCTGACATTCATTTTGGTTTTTTCTTTCTTTCCTATGTTTTTATTGTCCTTTTGCTTTCTTCATGTGTGATGTTCTTAATGCCATTCCACAGCTTGTGAAATCTGTCATGAGTGTTTAATGCATCAAATCTGTTCTTGACATGGTCTCAAAATTCATGTAGGATAGACTCAAGGTTTTATTTGGGCTCTTGTGGACTTGTTTAATTTTCTTCATCTTCAACCTTAACTTGTATATGAGCAATTAGTGGTCTGTTCCACAGCCTTGTTTTGCTGGTAATATTGAGCTCCTCCATCATCTCTATCCACCCATATAGGCTATTTGGTTCCAGAGTATTTCATCTGGCAAAAGCCACATGTATAGTCTCCATTTATGTTGTTGAAATATGGTGTTTGCAAGGAAGAAGTTATTGGTCTTGCAAAACTCTATCATGTGATTTTCAGCTTCATTCCTCTCACCAAGGGCATATTTTCCAACTACATACTTTCCTCCCTCTTTTTATTCGCCTTTCCCACTCCAATCACTAATAATTCTCAATGCATCTTGCTTACATGCTTGATCAATTTTAGATTGAAGACTTGGAAGAATTCTTTTTCTTCATCACTAGCTCCAGAATAAATAAGTTAGGCACAACCATGTATTACAGAGTTAAAACAATAAAAATGACAAAAAGCAGATTCTATCAAGTTGATTTCAACTCATGGTACCCCCCACGTGTGTCGGAATAGAACTATGATCCATAGGGTCCTCTATGGCTGAATTTTCATAAGTAGAACATTAAACATTTCCCTAAGGTACTTCTGGATTGACTCTAACCTCTTAGCAGATGAGCATGTTAACAAGTTTTCTTAATTACATTTACCTAAATCTTTCTGCCCATAACGAACTAAAAAAACTAAACACCCTGTCATCAAGTTGATGCTGACTCATAGTGATCCTATTCTATTTGACCATTTAGTATAGTATATTCAATTATTCCCTGAATTAGAGTATACATCTCTTTAGAGGATCATTCTGCCCATCACATTCACTTAATGGTTTTTATTGTAAGCTTATATTTCCTAATACTTTTAATGTAAGTGTTCTTTGAGGCCTTAGTTTTGACCTGTGTTCCTTTAGAATATTTGCTTCTGTTGGAAAAATTTGTTGTTCATCGCTGTTAGCACAGCTAGCCACCCTAAACTAAATTTTAAGTGAGGTGTTTTGGGAACTCTGAATTCATGCTCATAAGCATACATAGAAAAGAAGTATTTAATTCGGAATTCCTAGAAGAACTCAATCCCACACTCCTCCCACTGACCTGCTGAATCTGAGTCAGACAAGGTGGGAAATCCCCTTCTACAGGACATTTCTAGTGTAGATTGTATTTTCTGGGCCAGCAGCGTGTGACAGCCACCCTCAGGATAGGCATCGGTTCTACTGCTCTTACCTTGTGACTCTAGCTCTGCTTCTCAAGGGTCAGCTTTGAGTTAGTTCCATACATCTCCACAGGAGAGAGGGACAAAGATCAAGATCACGAAAGTTCCTGTCCTGTTGAATCTTACCTAGGAGGCAAGAGATGAAGTAAAAGATAAAACCATGTACAGGCACAAAAATCAATGAAAACATACACAACATCATGTCAAGAACTGATAAGTGCTCTGAAGAAAAAGAAAAGAGAGTGGTTCAAGTGGGGACCCTTTAGACAAGAAATATGGGTAACACATGTCCCTTGAAGAGGTGGTGTCAGTTCTGTAAATAGCTGAGAGAAGAGCCAACGTCTAAATGAACTTTATGACTTCTGGGGAACCCAGGTCTGAAGACCCAACCTGCGAAACAATGAATGTTAGAAATGAAATGCAGACTTCACATTTTGGTAGAGATAAAAATCGACTTCCTGTTATGGCATTGCAGGTCACGGGACTAGAATATCGCAGAGACATAAATACGCACTTCTATGGATCTCTGCCAAGGAAAAGTACAAATCTTACCCAGCAAATGATATACACGGATAAGAATGGGTCATTTAAACAAATGTTTAAAAGAAATAAATATTCTCAGGTCATAATCTGACACAAAATCAGTATTCATCAAGACTTTGACTGGCTCTTACCATCTGCAAAAGTGCAAAACAGCTTTTGGGAGAAAAGCTAGGTGGCTAAAACATAAAACAATGAAAGGAAGTCTCAGCCTAAAACTCAACGCCAACATGAAATGAGCCCTATTTCTGCACAGAAGGCAGTTCAGGCAGACCAGCTCGTCCATTGCATTCATTCAGCATGATTATTTTAGGGTAAAATGAAGCCTGTGTAATTTTTTATGAAGTTACACGCACATATATTTGAAATTACATAGTCTTTATTGAACCAGGTAGCCTAGAATAATACAAAATGTGTATGTTAAAATACATACTGTAGTTGAAAAACTCTACTCCATGATTTTAGAAGAATAAAATAAATACTGTTTCAATATACTTCTATCCAAATTATATATGTTCGAAAAGTAAATGTAATTTCAGCTAGATTATATATTTTAGACAAAAGATGTTCTTTTCATTTATATTCACTTTGTAAAGAATATTGACCAGTGACCTTAGAAGTCACTGTTATACAGTGCACAATAACTGTCATCCCGCTTGTCTTTTCGAACGGCTGACCTTGAGAATAGTGACCTAAACCCACCCACAACCAAACCAAAATCAAGCTCACTGCCATGGAGCCAGTGCTGACCCCTAGCGACCCCTGTGGGATTCTGAGACTGTAACTGTTTACGGGAGTAGAAAGCCCCTTCTTTCTCCCTCGGAGCTGCTGTTTCGAGCTTCTGATTATGAGACCGCAGCCCAACCCTTAAGCACTACACCACCAGCTCCTCATTATGCATTAACCCAAACGCACTACCATCATTGCCATTCTGACTCATGAGGACCTTATAAAACAGGGTTAAGTGTAACTTTTTAGGGGAGTAGAAAGTCTTCTTTTTCTCCAAAACTCACTGCCATTGAGTGGGTTCTGGTGCATAGAGACCCTATAGAACAGGGTAGAACTGCCCCTGTGGGTTTCTGAGGCTGTAATTTTCCGGGAGTAAATAGTCTCATCTTTGTCCAACAGAGTAGCTGATTGTCAATAATTTAATTTTCAATAAACTTATATTCAATAAACTTGTATTCATAGAAATGGAAAAAAAGCAGCAGCAAGCTCCTTTCTGGAGAGAATTCGGACTGCAGAAGTAAATCTTCATGATTTTCTTGTTTCAGATTTTCCTATAACTATTTAGGATGATTTTACACATTGCACAAAGATACCTACTACTTTCCATTATATTCTGACTACCATCAGGTTTAATGCAATATCCTGGAATTACTCAAAGATTGAGAAAACAGAGCCAGCGAAGGAAGTGTAGTGCAATTATGAAGTGCAGAACCATCGCTGTATTTCCAATGGCTTCCGGATGATCACAGCACCCAGTCTACACGAATATGCTTTGCAGACAAAGTCTCTTGAATGTTAATCTATAGCTCCTGCAGTTTCAAGCAACTCTTTGCTAAAGCCAGTTTACCTATAACTACACTTTTGAGTATATCAAGTGTTGGATGGCCATGATACCTCTCTTTCTGGTCTTTTTTTCTGCATTCATTACTTTCTCCCTTGCTTTTTACCTGGAAAAATTATTTTCCTAAGCTCATGATCATACAGTGTCCTAAAGCACCCCTCTCAGACATCCATGAAAAACATGACTGCAGTCATTGTACTATTTACTGTAGCACTCCATGGTTCTGCTGTAATCGTGTGCTCGAGTTTGTTTCCCCAGCTGGGTGTTGAATAGGTTCTGCCAGTATAGGAACTAATTTTCATATTTAAATACCAATTGAAGCACCATACAAAGTATTAATTATTCTTTAGAGAAATACTTATGGAATGAATTGAAGAGATATTTTCCCAAAGTTAACATACCAACAGAGAGACATGTTAAGAATGTTACTAAGTGAAATTTATTTTTTTTAAAGATTACTTTCTATCGATTAATTGCACTTGAGGAGAAGGTGGAACTCTGAATAGTTTTCTCACTTAATTTACTTTGTCAATACAATGGTCACACACCGCGTAATGGTCTCTCTTTCTCAGTCTGTGTTAATCGATGCCAGAGTTCTGTCTCTGAGAGTTGAGAAGCTTTCTTTGTGTCTCCGTAGAGGATGGACAGAGACCACGAAAGGCACTCTTTCCCCAAAGCAGTTTGGCAGATGGCTGAGAAGAGGGTACTTAGTAATTTTGCAGAGGAAATGACGAGAAGGAAAGTGTTTTGTGTCTCAGGAACCATGTGGAACTCCAAGATAAGAAAAAAAACAGTTGCTAATTTGAGTATAAAAGCAGGAAACATGATACACTTATTTCCTTTTATGCAAACCCAGTCTGTGAGGGGTTGGGTGGAAATTCCTTTTCTCTTGCTGATCCACAAAGGCATAGAGTCAAAGTGCTTCTTTTTGACCCACTGGGTTTTCTTTCTTCCTTTTTTGCTTCTCTTTCTTTTATTTTTTGTGGATACCATGGCTAATAATACCACAAGTTTAGGGAGCCCATGGCCAGAAAACTTTTGGGGTAAGCTATCTTCTTTAATTTATTTTAAATTGAAATTTATTTAGGAGCAAGCAACAGATGCTAGAACTCATCAATATGTTGAAAATCTCAATCTTGGAGGCGTTTTTCTTGACAATTGGTTATTTTAAGTTTTCAGAGCTTTATTTCAAAAAGTAAATTTAAAAAGGATTGTTTTTAAAATGTGCTATGAAGGCACTTAAGAATATTGGCTCTAAGTATAGCATTTGGTTGGGATGATAGAATGTTATTTAAAAAAAAGATACTAAAATTGAGAAGGGGATTAAAAAGTAGAAGTAATTACTTCTGGGGATTTGACCATGCAGATTTGTTGACAAACTGGAGTTTTATTTTTCTCAAGGTTATAGATTATGTATTTTACTTGATGAAACCAAGAATATCTAAAGGGATGATTTTAAAATTCCGTTGTCAAAGTTAAAATTTTTAATTTCCAAAGTGAATCTAAATGACAAATTGTTACTAAAATGAAAGAAGTTAGAGTGTCATTTATATGGATTTTAAGAATGGAATAGTACTAAGAAATTGAATAAAATGATTATAGGAATAGCCACTTGGAATTAACACCATGCATAACCTTCCCAAAGAAGCCTAATACAAGAGGGGAAAGGACACTACAGATGTCGTTTTCTGGCTGATTCCAGACACAGCTTTTACTCAGTGCTTTGTGGTGTTCTCAGCAATGAGCTGATGCTGAGGCTGTACTATTCAGATGCTCAGAGCCCGCAGTACACGAAAGGAGAGCTAAGCTAAAAACATCAGTATGGACTCTTAGGTTCAAAGAGTTCTGGTGGCACAAAGATTAAGCAGTGGGTGGAGATCTGAAATGGTGATTTCAACCCAAGTAGCCACTCTCGGGAGAAGGACGTGATGTTGTGCTTCTGTAAAGAGCCCTGTCTAGGAAATGCTACGGGATCCAGCTCACATGGGGCCGCTACAAATCAGGATTGTGTTTCAGCATCCAAACAAGCAAAACAAAAACCCATCTCTGGAATTCAGGGACATAATTAAAAGTGAAGAAGTTGATTTGGGTTAAATTTGTTTAATGAAGTTTATGAAAAGTTCAATGGTTTTCTTTTCAAGTCCAGAACCAGTTTTATTTTCCTCAGTTATTTTAGGTTTTCTGTTGTGATCCCAGGGGACGTTTTTGAAACGATGACCAGAGGGAAAGTCAGCCGGAGGAGCTGAGTATACCCAAACGCCTCACCCAGGCCTCTCCCAATGACCCAGCCTTGTCAGGAGAGATGTTCCTGAACACACTATTATAATTATATAGCAAAAAGAAAATCATGCTCATGTATTTTCAAGAATGGCTTTGATACTGATGAATATAGGGAGATATTACCAGACAACCAAGACTTTGTACAGGTCTGACTGGATATGTCTATTTATGACAATATTATTCATTACCCTCATTCTAAGGAAGGCAAATGTCAAACATGTGCTGAAAAGTAGTGTGGGGGTGGTGGTGGTGTTTAAACTAAACTCATCAGTCTAAAAGTAAGTAATTTCATATACTATTCAGAAACAAAATAAACTCTACTTTCAAAGTTAACCTGCAAAAAAGCTAGCTATTTCCCCTCAAATCACAGAAAGTTAACTGTTGAGTGTTACTTGAGAACAAGAAAGGATTATCCAGTCACTAAAATACCAATAGTAGTAATAAATACATAAAAATAAGCATGCTGCTGATAAGAGTCTATTTCAATGAAGACCATCTACTGATCTTCTAAAATTTAACCATTTTCCTATGGAAATCGGTGCTTGAGAGGGAAGTCAAATGCATTGTTTGAACTGTAGAGCCTAGTGTTCCTTTGTTCGAGGATGTGAAAATAACCTCAAATAGATGAGAATACTGAAAACCAGGAAGGGAGTGGTACATTGATAAGCAGTCATGGAACCAATGCAAATATGCTGAGTAGACGTGCCATTTAATAATTTCTGGAAAATGGATGGAAGACTGCAATACTGCTCTTGGTCAAACATATGAAGTGTAAAATGCAAAAATAGAAGTGTAAGGATAAAAAATGGAGCCATCTTCTGAAGATCAATGCCAGTATTTTTCATTTGGGTTCTATTGGGGGTGGGGGTGGGGGAGTCATTTAATTTTTATTGACTTTGCTGACTACAAAAATACTATTTTGAAAATGTTCCATAAAGTGCATGCAGTGCAATGTAATGCCTATTGCTTCCAAATCAAGTGTCTACTTGGCATTTTAAATTCTGAGAAGACAGAAAGAATCGCTTAGAAAAGCAGAATAAGTAGATTGATGCATGGAATTTTTCTAAGTTTCATTCCACATGTATTTTTTCTTGGTTTGCTTGCATGAATGCTAAAAACAGATCACGATACTAGTTTTTACCAATATTGCTAGCTTGCAATGTATACGCATTACTTGGCACTAAAATATATAAGCGCTACTTAGCACAAGAGGTGGCCACCGCAGAAGTGGTCTGAGATTGACTACCCAGCTGAAGGCCAGCACCCTGCCCTTCTCACCTTTGCTCTCTCTAATGCCCGCCCTGCCTCTATAAACATTCCTCATAAAAACAACAGGAAGCAATCTGTGAATGTTTCCTGCTCTACTGAAATAGTTGACAAGTAGGATTGAACTCGGTTACCCTCTCAGTTCTTGAGAATCCTAAAGAAGACATAGTTTAGATTGTACCTAGTGCCTTACCAGGCTTTTTAATTTGGGCTGGTATTGTGAGAGGTAAATATATTCATCTTTTTTAATCACTCCCCCAAAATACAATGCCCATTTCCAAGAATGAAAGAAAGGCGATGCCTTCTAGTAACAATTTACAGTCTTGGAAACCCACCGAGCAGTTCAAATCGGTCCTCTAGTGTTGCCAGGAGGCAGAAGTCTCTCCATGGTAGTGAGGGGTAAGGTCATGAAAATACACACACACCAATACTACAAGTCATGTGTTACAATAGCAATGTTTGATGAGATCCGATAGGAGTTTTTAAAACTAAGCACTGAAATGAGGTCTAATTCCTTTTTAGAAAAACACGAGACTTCATCTGTTCTTAGAAAGTCAGATAAGATTCAAATCGGGAGTTGATTCCTGGAAGGACCTCCTACTCATTAATTTATTCCTCATTAATCATTCATGCACTCAGTTCATGAGTGGACGTGCAAGCACTGGGAATGGGTTTGGTGTTCGTGATAATAAGAAACTCAGGAAATGAAGAAGAAATGAAGAGCCACCACGTAAAGGAAAAACAAGGCGTGTGGAGAAGTCAATGGGTTTGCATTCGGAAATTAAAGGGATCTATTTGGAAAAGCTCGTCAGAGGTAGATTTGGTAAGATTTTGAATATCAGTGCACAGATTCAACAACTCACGATCTAGTGACTTCTGCCCTCTTTTCTCCTTCCTAGGACTTCTCTCTAAGTTTAGAAAGGCAGATATACGATTTTGGATATTAGAAGGCGAGAGCTGTTTGGTTTTTGATCAAATTCTTGTCTCTTCTGACTTCTAGTGGCAAGTCATTCTTAACTGCTTTGGGGGCACTGGTATTTCTCCTCCCTGACTCCGTGGCTGGGCTGAAGTCTCTTAACATAACATCTGGCTGGGCGCTTGCATCCTCTTATCCATAGAAAGTGTCTCTTTTTCATCAAAGGCCTCTCTGGTCTTCTGGCTCTTTCCATCTCTCTCAGGGACGCAGACAATTGTGAGTGATCTACTGGAAGTGTCCGGAGCTAAAGGGGCCTCAGGAAGTTGGGCTGCACCAAGAGTCCTCAACAGGGGTGTCACTACCCCTAAATCACACTCTGCCCCTTGGGAAGTCAAGTCTTCACAGTAGGGCTTGTCATCTTCCCCATCTTCCCTGGATGCCAGAAATCCAGGAATGGACACCAGTTTCGTTGGGAATCCCCTAAATGCACCTGCGGCAGATGGTCGTCTTCTCTGAAATTCTCATCAATCATATTCTGTCTCTCTTCTCATGGTCTCTCCAGACTCCTCTCCACACTGCCCATAATTGTCTCCTATGCCACCAGCTAATCTCCCCCACACTGTTCTTTATGGGAAAGACTTAATATTCTTTGTTCTGTAAGTTTTAGCATTTTGAGATGGAAATCGATTTTATTCTCTTTTATCCCCTCAAAACACATAGCTGTTGCAGTAAAAATAATGTTTTTTAAGAATTCATGTTCTTCTATGCAGTTAAAAATTCACGCCATCATTTAAAAGCTATGCTTTCTCTTTTCCTGTGCATCCTGTGAACAGCCTGAGTCCCTTCTAAGGTAATTGGCCATTAAAACCGAGAGAAGGGGACTGTGAATTGATTTGTTGTGGTATCTAATGCTGACAAGGAACCACAACTTTGGTTCATAACCCAAACTCATATCCCTCAACCTATAGAATAATATAGTTTTTAGGGTTTGAGCCGAGCAAATGGGAATCTGGGTGTTCCCAGAACAGTTGGGCATGTGGCTCAAGGATTCCCTCTCTGTCTACGCCCGGTCAACAAATACTATATTTCAAATGCCTTTCTACAACCTATGCTTTTAAAAGTCTTGGAAAGCTATACATTGTTGCACATTAATTATGTTTCTAAGAAAATGGCATGGCGGCCACATCTGACCTCCTCTAGAGGGAGAGGCAGACTCCAACTTCACACTCACCCAATGCAGATTGCCACGAGGTCAGACATGCCGCCACCCTTCATTTTTCCTTCCCTATCCTGACACCAAGCATCCATTCCATGGCACTCCGCTGTTTTGCTGGCTTTCATAATGGCCACACAGAACTCACAGAGAGCACTCACGCTCTGGGGTTTATAAGGGAAGCTTCACGAAATGTTAAGGATACAGTAATTTGGTCTGCAACATCTCCTCTCAGCCATGCTAGCACACAGGTCTCATTCTGGTCCTCAGCCGCTCAGCCCCAAGGGGCCTTTGGTCTCTGCCTGGTTCCATGGCCAAGAAGCCCAGGACTCTGCCTCAAGGTCTCCATGATGGTCCTCAGCAGCTAT